GTTTTTCCGCAGGATCTCGAACACCTTCCGCAGATGCTCCACGTGCTCCTTCATGTTCTTGGAGTAGATGAGAATGTCGTCCAGGTACACCACCACGCACTCGTCTAGCAGGGGTCGTAAGATGTGATTCATCTCCGCCTGAAACGTTGCTGGTGCGTTGCAGAGTCCGAACGGCATCACCAAGTATTCGTAGGAGCCGTATCTGGTACGGAACGCTGTCTTGTGGACGGAGTTGTCTGCCATCTTGATCTGCAAGTAGCCCGATCGTAGGTCCAGCTTCGAAAATACTGTTGCTCCACGCAGTTGATCGAGTAGGTCGTCTATGCGCGGTATGGGATATTTGTTTTTGACTGTCTGTTTGTTCAGTGCGCGGTAGTCGATGCACATCCGTAGAGTGCCGTCTGGTTTTGGAGTGAAGAGAACTGGTGCGCCGTAGGGAGAGGTGGATGGGCGGATCAGTTGTCTGTCCAGTAGATACTCTATCTGTTTTTTCATGTCTGTCAGTTCAGTCGGACTTAGTCGGTATGGTGCACGTGAGACGGGTTTCGCACCTGGTTCCTCCACGATCTCGTGCTCGTGGGTGCGTGCTAGAGGTACGCCTGCAGGTAGGTCGTCGGGCATTATATCCTTGTACTGCTCCAAGACCTCTTTCACTGCTGCAGGTAGCTCGGAACTCGGCTTCTCCTCCTCTGCTGCTGCCATAACCAGCGCTAGGTAACCCGTGTGACTCTTGTTCACCGTCTGTTCGAACCGTGCCAGTGTTGTTTCAGGTACGTCCCCTGTATCCGTCCAGCTTCGCAATGCTATCCGCTTCCCATTGTTGTAGATGCACACCTTGCTGTTGACCCAATCGATCTCGGGGTTGAACCGCTTCAGGAAATCTCGCCCCAAGATAAAATCTAATCCTTTGATGTTGGTGACTGGTAGCTTCGGCTTCCACCTCAACGCACCTATATGCAGTTGCAGTGATGCTTCGCCGTGGATAGGAAGCTTCGTACCGTCCACCATGGTTGCTGAAAACTGGGTCTCTTCCGCCTTCTCTCCAATTTTCTCCAATGCTCCGCGGTCACACACCGAGTGAGATGCACCGCTGTCCACCAGTGCCTGGAGGCGTCGCCCATTGCATAACACCTCGAGGAGTAGTGGTTTCTGCTGTGCTGAGTAGCCAAAGAGGGTCTCGTTAATAGGATCATAGGGTACATCAAACTTAATACCTTCCCTTTTTCCTATACCTGACTCAGCGCTTTCCAACTTCACCTGGGGGGTAGGAGGATTTTTCCGAGGCTTGTATAATTTTTCCTGAGCGTGGATGTCTCCTCTAAGCCTTGGCAGCTGTGTAGGCTTCACCTGTGGGCGACGGGGAGCCTTAACACTGTGCTGCGGGGAGAGAATATTAACTCCACGGAACGCACGACCCTTCTCTACGCTCCGTAGTATTTTGCCCAACTTCTCAGGTACGTGAATAATTTCTAAAGGCTTTTTCTTGGCCTCTAGACCTCCCCTGAAGTTTTTGAAGGCTTGTAAACCACGAGAAGCAATATTCTTCGTTAGAGCATCTTTATAGGATACTTTTAACGAATTCTTACTTTCGTGGGTGTTCGGCTGGAGTTTCCCGGTCGGTGCAGAGTCTTTTTTCGCGGAGCCTCCATTCGCCTCGGCGATTTCCCCTGATGCCGGCCGGTCGTGACGTTTTAATTTCGCGCCATCATTTTCTCCTTTTTTCACCCGCTCCGAAGTCGCCACGTCGTCGCCTTTTCCTGCTTTTCGGATCTTTACGCGATCGCCAGGTCGATCCGCGGCTACTGGCGATTCCCGTTGTTTGACTTCGAGGGTGCTCCACTGTTTCCGTCCCAGAGTGCCGCACGTGCTTTCTTCATTTTGTAGCACGACAAAAACTGATGTCCTGCTGCGCCACAAAATTCGCATTTTGTCGGCTGCTGCTTCGCGTCGTATTTGTCGATATCCATCGGTTCGGTGAACGTGGGGGGTGCCGATCGCTCCGTGCCGAATGTACGGTTCGGCGTGAAGCGTCGTGTTTCGGGTTGACTTTGAGTCAGCGCGTCGTATCGCTCGGCAGCACGCACGATGTCTCTGTAGCTGTTGTAATTCGCCGCAATCACCTGCCGCCGAATCTCCTTTTTTAATCCTTCGGTGTACGCCTAGATTTTTTCGCCTTCGGTCAGGTCGGTGATGCGGTTGAACAGTAACTCCATCTGCTGCGTGTACTGTGTTACACTACTGTATTGCTTGTGTCGGTGTATCTGCTGCCGCGCCATGTAGGTTGTATTAATTGGTTCAAAACTCTCGATTAAATCTGCCCAAAACTGCTGCCACGTTTTCTCCCCGCGGGCTACGTCGGTGTAGTAAATCCATTCGAGAGCCGGTCCACGTAACAGTGTCGCTGCGAGCCGAATCCTTGATGCGTCGTGTTGCGGGGTCGAACAGCCAATGGCCTCGAAGTAAATTTCGAGGGTGGCCACGAATCGCCGGACGTCGGATCCCTTCGCGCTTGGATCGAACGCCTCCGGGAGCCTCGGTCGTGCTGCTTCGAGGTTCGGCGACAGTGGTGCCATTGGTCCGTGAAATGTCGGTATTGCCACTGCTGCTGGAGTTGTCGGTGCTGCAGTCGCTGTGGTCGCTGCTGCTGCGGTGGCCAACCCTGGTTGGCTTGTCAGAAAAGCCTCGAGTCGACGAAGCGTCGCCTGCGTCTGCTCCATGTCGGTGCGGAGGCTCGCGATGTCACTCGTAGTCGCGTAGTTGTCGCCTTGGCCCTCCATTTGGTGATTTACAGGAAGATGCGCGACGAAAATAATCGAATTCTAGGTGCTGGTCGACTTACTGCGAGTCAAATGGACTGTAGAATCGACGAGCGCGAATTCTGTAGGTTTGCGTAAATCTCCCTTAGGCGAAATTCGCGTCCGATCTTGGCCGTTGAGGATAAAATCAATCCGACGCTCCAAATTCCAACTTTTTTGGGCGAAATTCTCTGGGCCGTTGAGATGAAACTCGATCGAACGGTTGAAACTCCAACCTTTCCACCAGTAAATCTGAGGGGTGTTCGAAAACCGAATCGAGGAGGACTTAGAAAATTGCGCGGAACTGGTTTTACATACCTGTATCGGCGCTTTCGTCGTCGCCCCCGCAGTTTTTAAAGGCCGGAACTAAGCGGTTGAAGACCTCGCGTGTAAACCCGCTCTGATTACCAAGTGTGAGGATCTGGGATCGAGCTCAGAAAAGATGATTCAAATTGAATTGAATGTCCACCTGGGTACAACACGAGGCTATATATAGGCTCGACACAAGGCCCCGTAACCAGCTGTTACGCGAAGGTTCCGCGGGTCGCGAAGCGTCCCGAACAGATCCTTACCGAATTCGGTAGAAGGCAATTCGGTGGCAACCGAAAAGCCATAATTCGGTGCACGCAACCTAGCTCGGTGCTATAACTAAAATAAAATATAGGAAAGCACCTAGCCTAGGAAATCAAGCAATTCATGCATGCATATGATTATCCTATGCTAGAAATAGCATGATAAAGTAGAGGCAAGCAAGCGTAGCTAGCATAAGCCGTCGTACTCTCACATCGTCGTCGCTGAAGTCGTGATGCGTGCTGAATGGGTTGTTGTTCGTGAACGCTCCGATTGGGTGAGGTGCTGGCTCAGGTGACAGTGAGCGTGCACGGGGACGACGCGATCCTCTCGTCACTGTCATGTTCCCCATGACATTGCGGACAGGAGCCGGCTGAGGCAGCTGCTGCTGATGCCGATGTTGACCTGTTGGGTTCGAGTTGAGCGAAGGGGGTTGATACCCCTGGGCTGAACGAGAGTCGTTCCGTGCATCTTGTCGACCGGACCAAGTGCTCGGGTTGGTCTGGCGAGGGCGAGATCGGAATTTGCATCGATCTACCAGGTGCTCGAAGTTTCTGCAGATTTTGCAGTAGAGGTGAGGCGTAGAAGGCGAGGCGTTCCCTGTCTCGTCGCGGCGCTGGTCGCTACTGGTCAATATCCCGTTGTTCGACGACGAGGGCGGCGCATAGGGCGGCCTCCGAGAGGACCCCCTACTGTCGGAGAAGCGCCTTGCAAGGCGCCACTCTGACCAAGCCCTTGAAGCAAGATGTTCACGAAGATTTCTTCGGAAATGTTGCTTCCCAACTTCGCGATTTGATCGCGGTGGCTCCGACAGCGATTGATATAGCCGTTGACCTTCTTCACAGTGGCCAATTTTGTCTCTAATAGCTGCTGGAGCAAGCAGCTCGAAGAAACCGAGTCCTTCGGTTGATAGACTCCGTTTAGGTGGCGTCACGCGTCGAGGGCCGGGGCAGGTGTTGTCTTGTACGAACGAATGTTCAGCTGCTCCGCCGACGACATGTTGCGCAGTAAGACGCCGTACGCCATCATGGACTCGCTGTAGTACTTTGTCCTGGCGTCGTCGGTGTCTTCAGTAGGTGTCAGTAGATCTGCACTGTGGATGCCCGATTGATCCTGGAGAGGGTTACTGGCGCGTTCGCCTGGGGGGTTATGGGCGCACTAACCCGCTACTGAAAAAAGCCCTTTTATCCCAATGGTCTAGTGGTTGGGATTCTGACATGGTATCCAGAGCAGGTATCGCCCTCCTGCTGCCTTCCTGCTTCCGCTGCCTATCGTCCTGCCGCGCGCCTCGGGCGCGCGGCGTATTCTTGGCACACGGCGATTTTCTGCCCGCCGTGCGCCCTGGGCGCGCGGCGTCTTCCTGCCCCGCACGTGGCCTGCCCTCACGCCGCCTGCGCGCCTGCCTCACGTCCACGCGCGGGCCTTTCTTGCCCGCTCGTACCCTCCACTTCGCGGCGCCCTGCGAGGCGCCGCTCCTGCTCGTCGCGACGCACCTGCGGGACCCGGGTGTCGCCGCTCCTGCTCGTCGCGACGCCCCTGCAGGACCCGCATGGCGTCGCCTTGCTCGTCGTGACGCCACTGCAGGACCCGCGGGGCGTCGCCACTGCTCGTCGCGGCGCCCCTGGGGCATCGCCCCTACTCGTAGCGGCACCCCTTGGGCGCCGTTCCTACTCGTCGCGGCCCCCTCCCCCCTGGCCACCGCCTCTGCCTCACCTGCGCCCGCGCCAGCGTTGCAGCCGCGCGCGGGCCTACCTTGCACCAGCGCCGCCCCTGGACCTCAGCAGCCGCCCCTGGACCCCACGAGCTGCCCCAGCAGCAGCCCACGGCGCCGACCCTACAGCTGTATGCGCCGCCGCTCCTGGACTCGGTACGGCTGCCTGCCTGTGCTGCCTGTTGCTGCCTGTTGCTGCCCGTGCCTGAGCTGCCTGTTGCCGCCTGTTGGTGCCCGTGCCTGTGCTGCCCGTTGCCGCCCGTTGCTGCCCATGCGTGTGCTGCCTGTTGCCGCCCGTTGCTGCCCGTGCCTGTGCTGCCTGTTGCTGCCCGTGCCTGTGCTGCCCGTTGCCGCCCGTTGCTGCCCGTGCCTGTGCTGCCTGTTGCCGCCCGTTGCTGCCCGAGCCTGTGCTGCCTGTTGCTGCCTGTTGCTGCCCGTGCCTGTGCTGCCCGTTGCCGCCCGTTGCTGCCCGTGCCTGTGCTGTCCGTTGCCGCCCGTTGCTGCCCGTGCCTGTGCTGCCCGTTGCCGCCCGTTGCTGCCCGTGCCTGTGCTGCCCGTTGCCGCCCGTTGCTGCCCGTGCCTGTGCTGCCTGTTGCCGCCCGTTGCTGCCCGTGCCTGTGCTGCCTGTTGCTGCCCGTGCCTGTGCTGCCTGTTGCCGCCCGTTGTTGCCTGTGCCTGTGCTGCCCGTTGCTGCCTGTTGCTGCCCGTGCCTGTGCTGCCCGTTGCCGCTTGTTGCTGCCCGTGCCTGTGCTGCCCGTTGCCGCTCGTTGCTGCCCGAGCCTGTGCTGCCTGTTGCTGCCCGTGCCTGTGCTGCCTGTTGCCGCCCGTTGCTGCCCGTGCCTGTGCTGCCTGTTGCCGCCCGTTGCTGCCCGAGCCTGTGCTGCCTGTTGCTGCCCGTTGCTGCCCGTGCCTGTGCTGCCCGTTGCCGCCCGTTGCTGCCCGTGCCTGTGCTGCCCATTGCCGCTCTGCTGCAGTCCGCGCCCTTGTGCGCTCTGGTCTGCCTGCGCCCTCGTGCGCTCTCCTGCTGCCCGCGCCCTCGTGCACCCTGCTGCTACCCGCGCCCTCGTGCGCTCTGTTCAACTCTGTCACCCCCGCCCCCCCCCCCCCCCCCCCCCCCCCCCCCCTTCCCCCTTCTTCGTCTCCTTGCTGCACGTGCAGCCGTGGAACGGAGGCTAAGGGGGTGGCGGGTATGGGGGTGATGGGTGTGTGTGATCCCCTTCCCCTCCTCCTCCTTTCTCTCCCACTGCTGCAGCTACCGCTGGGGGGGGGGTGGGTGTGAGGGTGTGGGGGAGCTGGGGGAGAGGTGCTAGGGTTGTCAAGGAGTGTGGAAGGGGGAGTTGGAGGACTAAGGAAGGTTCCAGGAAGCAGCCGCCTTGGAGCCAGCAGCTTCACCTGCCAGCAGCCTCTCCTCATATAGTCCCTCCTCCTCACTTGCCCTCTCCTTCTGCTGCGCTTGGTGTACCCCTTCAGGGGGTGTCTCTGCATTAGCTTCTGCTGCAGGCAGTTATGGGGGAGTGTCAGAATATATCTGTAACTGCCTGTAGCTGTAGTTAGTGTAGTTATTATAAACTTTGTTCGGTGGTGCACCTTCTTTGTTTCCTTTGCTATATGTTCTTGCAAACCTATACTGAAGCCCCTCTTTCTCCTTTCCAACTTTCTCGACACTCTTCTCAATCCTAAACTCGATCTCTAAGAACCTAACTAAACTATGGCTCCTAAGCCTACCTATGCTTAGTATCTCAACATGGTATCAGAGCGGCTGGCAGACCAAAAGGTGGCGGACGAGCCCGAGTGTCGCCTCCACCAGCTGCAGTAGGGGAGTCACTGGCCGCTGCACAAGACGCCTCTCCAGGCCCTGCGCTCCCTCCGCCACCAGTCGGCACGCCACCCCCGCCACCTCCGCTGCCAACGCCTCCACCGCCGCTACCACATGTACCCTGACCGCCCCTCTTGCCACCTCTACCTCGAGACCACGAAGAAGTCGTAACAGCAGCTGCGGTCAAGTCAGTAGCAGCAGTGGCGAGAGAGGCTGTAAAGGTGGGTAGCTGAGGGACAGTGCACCCGTGGAACAGTGGAGGGGGCACAGCACCAGAGGCGGAGGCTACGGAGCGGAGGTTGCTCTCGACGTCCTTGAGCGCAGACTCAAGGACCTCGATAGTGAGCTCACTAGGGTGCTTCAGGAGAAGCGTGTCACGAACCGAGGCAAGGCGGTCAGGGAGGCTAGTAGCGATGAAATAGATAGTCACCGCCATGGGGGGAGGAAGCAGTGCAAGCTGTGCCTCATTGCAAGCAGCGCGGTAGCTAGAATTAAGCGAGCAGAGGTGAGCAATCAAGTCAGCAGAGCGCTCAAACGAAACGAGGTCAGGGAAAAGGAACGGTAGGAAGAGTCGGCCAAGAGAGACAGTTGTGGGAGTAGCGTAGCGGGCCTTAAAGGCCACACCCCGAATTACACAACGAAGTCAACGAAAAAAAAAAAAAAGTAGGTTCGGAAAACCCTAGAAGGAGGTCCGGTGGGAAAATCTAGAACCAATCGCGTCAAAAACCCTCTCAAAACCTTCGATCAATCACGTGAACGTGGTGACAGTTTTGGGGCCGACACGGTAATTCTAGATGTGTCCTTTAATCACAGTCAGGAACTCACTAGCAGTGCGATCCTGAGTGAAGTGGGCCTCCTCAGACTCAGGGAGGAGGCTGCTAAGAGCGATGCAGGCCGCAGCATCACCTGACTTCCACGCCGTCAGGTCAGCACACTAGCGGGTGAAGCGGTCCTTGGCTACGTCGTCAGGGGCAGTGCCTAAAGGCATAGGGTCGTCGGGCGCAGGAAGGTGACCAGTTGCGTACGCCCAAAAGTACTCGCCCGCCTGAACCTGACTCTCTAAATGGCGACGCGCACGTAGGAGCCAGACCGGAAACTCGAGCGGTCTACCGTCAGCGTCAATGCGAAGAACCCTAGAGGTCGCCATAGTGTAAGTAGAAGTGACAAGTCCGACGGCGGGTGGCACTAGTAGGGATAGTGGGCGGCTAGGGCAAGTCCGTGACGGACGCAAAACGCGGGCGCAACAGGGCTAGGGCCGGTTCCGCGGCGGACTGAATGAGTAGGCGCAGCGATGCAAAGGAAGGGCTTAACGAGCGGGCCCGCAGCAGACTAAACGAGGAGGTGCGGCGGCTGGTTGAACTGGCAGGCGCGGCGGTTGTCATGGAGGGCCCACGGCGGCTGTAAGGGAGGACCTGCGGTGTGCCTAACAAGCACGCGCGGCGACGGGCGGTACGGGCAGGCACGGCGGCTGTAAGGGAGGGCCCGCGGCGGGTCTAACGAGCAGGCGCGGCGCAGGCTAGGGCGGGGCCTGCGACGGGTGCGAAAGGCAGGCGCTGCGGGCGGCTAGGGCGGACCCGCGTCGGGCTGAATGGCAGGCGAAGCGAGAGGCAATGGCAAGGCTTGCGACGGGCGCGAAATGCAGGCGCTTCAGGCGGCTAGGGCGAGCCCGCGGCGGGCTGAACGGCAGGCGCGGCAAGAGGCTAGGGCGGGGCTCGCGACGGGCGCGAAAGGCAGGGCCCTCGACGCGCCTAACGAACAGGCGCGGCGGCAGCCTAACGGGCAGGCGCGGCGGCGACCTAACGGGCAGACGTGGCGGCGCGAAGACACGGCCCGTGTTACGATAGTGAGCATAGTGAGGAGCCATAGTTAGGGTTTAGCTAGCTAGGCAAGAGAGAAATGAAGAAAGGAGGGGTTTCACTAGCAGCAGTTGGGATACAAATAGCAAACCCTAACAGGGTTGTACTCGCTATAGAGCACCCCACTACAGGCTAGATAATAACATAGTGACAGCCCTCAGTGGGAGTAACGGGCAGACGCGGCGGCGCGAAAGCAGGGCCCTCGACGGGCCTAACGGGCATGCCCGGCAGTAGCCTAACGGGCAGGCACGGCGGCGACCTAGCGGGCACGCGAGACGGGCGCGAACGGGCGGGCGCAAGGGGAACGCGCGCGACGGAACGGGATCGGGACGGGACGGGTCACGGAACGGGAGAGTGTCGACAGCTACGGCGGGGCTACACGACAGAACGGGTGAGGCGCGTTAGGCTTGAGCGGGAGGAACGGGATCCTACAGGATCCTAACATCGGTGATATCATGTAAAGAATAAAAGTGTTGTGTTATTGATGAGGGTTAGGGTACATATAACAAACCCTAATATTTGTACCCTCTTAAACAAACCTCACCACAGGCTACAACATTGGACACACCCCTCCCCCACCAATGTTTTCGATAAGAAACGAGGAATGAATGCATTGAGCAACATGAGGAGTACAAGTAGGAAACCCATATGAACTACCCCACTACAGCCTACACAGACTATACCATATAAGCCTGACACACCCCCATAGGCAAAGTGGGGGAGAACAAGGGGTCACAAGACCAGTCAAGAAAAGCAAAGCAAGCTTACGGTGGATCACAACGTCACCACACAGTCCGAGCACAAGAGCAAGGCCGCAAGGCCGGTTCACATACAAGATCATATATAAAGGTAAACAAGCAAGTGCAGGTATAGAAAGATCACAGTACAAGCAAGGTCAAGAAGTGAGCAAGTGAGGCCAAGTAGGCACAAGACCTAGCATAGTACAGAAGCGCTGATGATCACAAGGCGGAAGTGCCTTGGTAAAGATATCAGCAGTGTTGGCCTCAGAGGCCACGTAGGTAAGGCGTAGCTGACCACGCTGCTGCAGCTCACGAGCTAGGAAGTAACGAAGAGCAATGTGCTTCGTTCTGTGCTCCAGTCTGTGCTCCCGACACAAGGCCAGCATGGCCTTGTTGTCTACGTACAGAACTGGAGGAGAACGAGGCGGCTCTCCTAGGTCAGTCAGCAGGTAGGTGAGCCAGCATAGCTCCTGTGCAGCCATGGCTTCCGCGTAGATCTTAGCCTCACAGCTGGAGGTGAGAACAGAAGACGAGCGGGTAGACCGCCACGAAACAGAGCCGGAGCCAAGGCTGAAGGTGTAACCCTGTGACGAGCGCTGCATAGCCTGGTCGTCAGCCCAAGAAGCGTCTGCGTGACCTGTGAGGACTACTCGACATAGCCCTCCAAGCACTAGCCCCATGCCCGAGGTACTGCACTAGTAGCACAACACCCTCTTTGCTGCAGCCATGTGCTCTGGTCGGTGTCTCCCTGGAGCAACATAGCGTGCCAAGATGCTAAGAGGGTATGCAAGGTCAGGTCGTGTGCAGGTCATCAGGTACATGAGGCAGCCAACAAGCTCTGGGTACGGGCCACTCGGCTCTACGGACTCATCCAAAGGCAGAGCTGAGAGCGAGTGGCGACTAGATAGAGAAGTGGCCTGAGGCGAGGAGTACGTGAAGTCGAAGCGCTGAAGGACCTGCTGCACCATGTGTGACTGAGTCAGGGTAATGATGCGTTGTGCTCTGCCCCGGGTGATCTGCAAGCCAAGTTAGATGCGCAGTTCACCCAGGTCTGTGCACGTGTGTCTCTTCTGCAGCTCGGACTTCACGTAGACGAGTCCAGCAGTGTCAGCAGTGGCAAAGACCAAGTCGTCGACGTACACGAGGATGTAGAACGGCGGCAAAGAGGTGTCGGTGCGTAGAAACAGCGACGGGTTGGCAGTAGAAGGAGCAAACCCAAGAGCCGCAAGTGTAGTCCTCAGTGTGTCGTGCCACTCACGGGGCGCCTGGCGGAGACCGTAGACTGGCCGCCGGAGGCTCCACTGGGTACCAGGAGGAAACGACCCAGTGAAGCCAGGTGGGCGGCGCAGCCAGATCTCCTCGTGCAGGCTGCTCTGCAGGAAAGCTGTGGTGAAGTCAAGAGAGTGAAGCTCGTAGTCGCGCTGAGCGGCTATGTGCAGCAGCACCCAAAAGAGTGGTCATCTTCGGGGTGGGAGAGAAGGTCTGAAATCAGTCAACTCCCTGCCGCTTACTGAAACCTCGAGCCACGTAACGCGCCTTGAAGACA